CCCAAAAATAAATATGTCCTTTCTCTTCCCACGTCCCTTATGCACACGCCAGGTTGGGTAGCTTTTCCCCTCCCCTCTCTCTCTCTCCTCCACCGTCGCCTACGATTTGCAGTAATCATAACTCGAGTAATTCCTCTTGTTAGCCCACTCGGTATGCTTCTCCAGCGTCAGCGGCGCCAGCCCCCTGTTGGCTTTGAGAAACACCGTCTCGAACGGATGCACGTTGATTCCAAAGTACGCCCCGTCGAACAGGAGGTCGCGGTTGTCGTAACACGTCTTCCCCTTCTCGTACTCCTCGCTCTCCAAGCCGTGGTAGGCGTTCATCAGCGCGTCCACTTCGTAGCCCGCCGCGCGGATGAGCGCCGTTGACGAGACCTCCCCGGCGACGGCCGCTCGCCAGGAGTGGAAGCACGAGTTGATGCCCGGAGGCTGGTGGTTAATCGCCACCGTCTCGTTCGCCTCTCGCGCGTAGAAGAGATCGAGCTCTTTCTTCTTTTCTTCGTCGGCCTCTGCGTACTCGGCCATGTCCTTATAGGGGCCAGGGATATGCTTGACGGGGTTCTGGGCGAGGAAGTCGAGAGCCGATTGGGGTGGGAAGAGGAGCGTTTCGAGGCCTATGATGTCGGTGGCCCAGATCATGGACTGGATGTGGAAGGTGGGCCAGCAATTGGCGGTGATACCGACCAGCTGTTCTGGCAGTTAGCGAGTGTGGCAAGAAAGAGGGAGGGGGAGAGAGAGGGTGCATCATACCTTCACTTTGTCGGTAACCTTGCTGAGGAACCTATCCGTCCAGCAGGCGTCGCTCCAATAGGGCAAGAATGGACCTCGAATACTAGCGTTCATGGTGATGAAATACTTGTAGCCCTTGTACAAATCATCGTTCAGCAACACAGACGCCAGACCACCCAGATCATAACAATCGTTCGGCCGCTTTATGACGCGAATGTTCCCCTCCTTATTCTCGCGGAGAATCATACCGGCCACATCCGCTTCCGTCTTCCCGTTGACGATGAAGACGAAGTCGGCGGCGTTGTGGATGCCGTGCGCGAGGAAGAATTTGAGATTATCTAGTGGCGTGCTGCCGTTCCCGTCCGCGTACACGTAGAGAATGAGAGGTCTGTCTTGGTTATCGATTTCATCGTTACCATCGGCGATGGGGGAGGTGGTCTCCTGATCATTCTGTGGCATCGGCTTTTGAATCCCCTCCACGTCTGATATCTGTAGACCGTCAATACCAGCGATCGGGTGCTTCCGAGGGGGAACACTGCACATACAATAATTGACGACGTGGGCATTTCCAGCGCCAATAAGCTCCAAAGCAAGAATATAACCATAAAGGCCAGCACAAGCGTCGTACGCAATGGGGTCAAGGATCCATTCGACATCTTGCTTATTCGCCTAATGGCCATGTGTGTTAATGAGAGACAGGGAAATAATGGAGAGGAAAAGGGTTGAAGAACCAAAGGATTGACGTGGATGATTACCGGCGCAAGTTGGAAGATTTAAATCTAGTTCTCGGATGCCCAGACCTAAGTACGAGATATATATGAGACTGGTAGAAGGTTTCAACGACCCGCTGAAAATGCCGACCGGGAAGCTTTCTTTTCGCAGCGTACGTAAGTTACCCCTGAAAGATCTGGAGGCGATGCAGCCAGCACCACTCACTTGGAGAGGATTGTAGGTAGGTACCGTGGGCTGTAGAGAAATAGGCTGTCGGTTGTCGACCACTCGGGTGTCAAGAGTTTAAATGCGCACGATATCCGAAGATCATGAATGAACATGAGAGATAGGTAGAGAGAGTGTTGAGCTCGAAGAGGGACAAGGACAAGGACTTGGGGACTTGGACTAGGACTTGGGGACTTTGGACTTGGGACTTGTCCGAACTGATGAGGCAAGTCAAGTCAAGTCAAGTCTGGTCAAGTCAAGTCGAAACTGGAGGTCAAACCGCGCGCTCGGCCGGCATGAGATCGGGATGATGAGGAGGAGGAGGACGATCATGATCATGATCACGTGGCGGGTATAGGGGAATGGCAATACCGTACCGTAGCGATCGACACGAGATCTTTCCGTCCGGTGCTTCCTGCGAAAGTCAAAACACATCACATCAGTACCTAAGTGAGAAGAAGTCGAAGTCGAAGTCGAAGTCGAAGTCGAAGATGGTGGTCAGTAACAAGTACCGGTAGATGCTGAAGTCGAAGAAACTGCTACATCTCTATTCCCGTGCAACCGGGATGCCATCGGATGGATGCGGTGCAACTCAACCGACGGATGAGAAGCAATTGATTGTTGTTGCAACTTTCGGGCCGACATCCCTCCCGGATGACCTAATACAACTGTTTTAAGTAATCAGGATTCAGAATCCATGCCAGAGCCTAAATATAGACCGACAGCTGACTCAGTCCAGTCGTCCAGTCAGGGCCCAGGGGCGTACGGAGTACCGGTACCGGTACTGTATAGGCGGTCTGCGACCCACTCGTCACGTGTCTCGGTCTGGCGCTCGGTTGTTTCCTCGTCGTCGATTGAAGAGGCCGACCGAATAAGAGTTGCGCAACCGCGTCTCAACAGCTTCACGATGTTGAGAAATACAGGAAAACCATCTCCGTTGAGTCTCGCGCACTGCAATGAGGCGCTTTCGTGATGATCATTCCTGAGATTTCCCCGCACGCTTAGCAAGCCATGGGTTGCCACACATCGGCCTCCGCGCCGGCTGGAAGAGAGTCATGTCCGCAGATCACCAGAATGTTGAAATTCATCTTGGTCCAAAAACATCAAGTGGAATCTGTTGCTGCTCAAAGACCAACCAAACTTATCTCATCCAAAAATGACGATCAATCTTCAGGAAAGATACGAAGCAGAGCGTGAGCGTCGCCTCAACGAGAAGGGACTCGGTCAATACTTGGACAAGTCCAAGACAGCCGAATACATTCTTGCCGAGGACCCTTGGGTTGCGGAGGGTACGCCTGTTCAAAAACCAGTTGCAGATGGAGGACATATTAAGATAGCAATCTTCGGTGCTGGATTCGCCGGGCTTTGTGTGGCAGCACGGGCACTTCTCGGAGGAAGTGCGAGCAGCCCGAGTGACCTACTCGTTGTCGATCGAGCTGGAGGATTCGGTGGAACGTGGTGGCACAATCGGTACGTGATGTTGGTTGATATGTAGACCTCGTTACTAAAATAGAAGAAATAAAAAACTCCAGATATCCAGGCTTGATGTGTGATATCGAGTCGTACGTTTACCTCCCGTTGCTAGAAGAGACGGGGTACATGCCAAAGCGCAAGTATGCTGGAGGCGAAGAGATTCGAGAGTACACCGATATGCTTGCACGGAAGTTCGGCCTCCACGATCGTGCGATGTTTCAATCCACTGGCAAAGCTCTCACCTGGGATGCCGAAGCAAAGAATTGGAAATGCGAGGTGATCGCAAAGCCGAAGGGCCAGCCAGAGTCTCTAGTTGGGTTTACCGCAGATTACGTGATCATCTGTTCAGGCGCTTTAACGAATGTCAAAATGCCCGATCTTCCAGGCCTCACGGAGTTCAAGGGTAGGATGCTGCACACGGGCTGCTGGAATTACGACATTACGGGCGGATCCCCTGCAAATCCTGTGCTCAGCAATCTCAAGAGCAAGAAAGTTGCGATCGTTGGCACTGGCGCAACTGCGATCCAAGCCGTTCCTGCAACTGCAAAGTATGCCGGGAAGCTGTATGTCTTTCAGCGTACTCCTTCAGCAGTAGACTTTCGCGGCAACCGTGACACCGATCCTGAGGAATGGAAGATGAAAATCGCAAATAAGAAAGGCTGGCAGAAAGAACGAAGCAACAATTTTCAAGCTTTCACGGAAGGCCTAAGTGACCTGCCGGACGAGGACCTTGTGTGTGACGGGATGTCACAGATGCCTACCCTGTCAGGAGCATGGGGAAGTTCCCAGTTGGTCAAGCCGGAGGATCTGGCGAGCTATCTTGCCATGATGAAAGGGCTGGATGCCTTCCGATCTGATAGGGTAAGACAAAGGGCTCTGGATGTCGTCAAAGACCAAGAAACAGCTAAGGTAAGTAACTTCTCCTTTGCTGGCATTGGACTTCTGACCGAAACGTTCGTCAGTCTCTCCAAGCTTGGTATCCAGGGTGGTGCAAAAGACCAACTTACCACGACGAATACCTCGAAGCCTTCAACCAATCCAATGTCCATCTTGTGGATACCGCTCCCCAAGGCGTCGAGGCTCTTACAGCGAAGGGCATCGTGCATAACGGCAAGGAGTATCCGATTGATGTAATCATCTGGTCGACAGGCTATGGCTCTCCTTTCACAGAAAGCGTAGCGGGCAAGGCCGGAATCGCAGTTACGGGTAAAAACGGGCTGGACATGGAAGACGCCTTCAAGCAAGACAAACTGATGTCGCTCCATGGCCTTATGGCTCACAACTTCCCGAACCTCTTCTATCCGGGTGCTTTGCAAGCAGGGGTTGGTGTAAATCAAGTCCAGCGGCTTGAGGAGCAGAGCGTGCACATCGCTTACACGATCAAGGAGGCTGAGCAGAGGACCAAGAGCCAGAAGACAGTCATCGAGCCAACTGATGAGGCGTGTGAGAACTGGGGTGACCAGTGTGCTTCCCACGCTCACATGCTGGCTACCATGGCTAACTGCACGCCGAGCTACTTCAACTCTGAGGGTGCGAGAGATAGGATGTCACCCGCGCAGCAGGCGGCAGCTGCCAGGACCGCTATCTGGGGCCAGGGATATCTGTCCTATGCGAGGATCTTGACCGGGTGGCGTGCGAGCGGAAGACTAGAAGGTATCAGTGTTTCTGCTGCGTAGACAAGATAGTAGGACACGACGTTCTTTGTCTTGGCATGTCTATGATGAGTGTGGCCGGCGTAACTTGGTAGCCGCAGACGAAGCAGCTTTCTTGGGTGTCGTTTCGAAGGATGGTGACTTTTTGCTAATGATCCTGGAAAGCCTTTGGAAGCTAACTTATAAAATACAAGGAATTAGAAAATGGCTAGAGAGGATTGAAATCATGTGGAGCCCCTTGGTGTTTTCTTTTCTCCCTTGAATCGCTTTGCACGCACTGTTCAGATTGAAGAAGAAAAAATCATGTATTCTTGATTGTAGCTTGGGGTGTTTTCGGGAGAGCAGTGAAGTGAGGGCTTGTAGTTAAACGCTTGAACGGTTTATATATATATAATATCCTTTACACAATTTTCCATTTCCGGAAATTAGGGAGCAAGCGAATGTGTAGGAGGGAGGTACTTGATAGGCCTGGGACCTTTTGTGAGAAAGTCCCGGCGTGTGATATAACGAGCGCGGTTTGTATGTTCCAATTTAAAATCTTCATGTACGGTTACTAGGACTAGGACGCATTTGGACTTTGGCAGCTCCCTAGCCGGGTAAGGCTTACAGAATGAGGGTTGTAGTAAGTAGTAGCCCAACCGCTCCAGCGCTCTAGTGCCAACCCTGTAGGTCAGGTAAAGAAAGGGGTGAAGGTAGGTCTATCGATCGCATGCCGGTTCTGGTCACCCAGACAGACAGACAGACAGACAGACAGACAGACAGACAGACAGACAGATGGTAAAACATTAGAATAATATCATTGGGGATCTGCGTCTCTCTCTCTCTCGCACACCTCGAATCCCCATCACTGAATTTCTTTGACTTTTAAAGGATATCTTCTGCTCCCGCATTTGAGGATGGACAAAGCCAGTGCCCCTTTCGATAAGAGAAAGAGGATCAATCAATTGCTTTCTCGCCCTAGCTGTTGGTTCGCCCGCAGCGAACGTTCTTCTTCTCTCACCCCATGCCAGCTTGCATCGCACGTGGGTGGGTCTCCTTACAATCGCCAAAACAATGGGCTTTGAATGGTATCTGATTTCCATCTACTTCTCCAGGCTCACAGCGAGCAAGGGATTCTTTTTCTGTACGATTAGACAGAGGGTCCCTGAATGGCTATCTATCAACGTTTACAAGGAAGTTGGGGTCCCTACGGATAGATACACATCTCGCTAAGCGAGATACATATGTCCATCTCCCTAAGCGAGGATGTCGATATTGATGAACTGATGGTAGTCGATGGTTATTGAAGTTAAAATGGTCGGCGAGATCTTTGTAGCGAGCTCTGGCGCTATGCTATCGCGAGGACTACGCTTAATAAAGTAGGGAGGTAGGTTAGTAAGCGTGAGACACGCTGGGTAGAAGGATTGCGTCTCCCCGCTACACCAACGATGGATTGTTTCAAGAGGGCCGGCAACGATGATCTATCTCATCAGTATCTAACTGTTTGTCTCAATCCAGTGGTGGAGGTGGCGGTGGTGGTGGTGGTGGTCGTCGTCGTTGTCGTTGTCGATTTGCTGATTTTCCAAGCCAGGGCCTTCTTATTCTTATGGCCGAACAGGCGAACAGGTTCATAATCGCAGCCAGAAGGCTGTTGGGACGAAGAGAAGGCTAGGGCGAGAAGTTTCCCAATCTTGAACCATGGCAATAGATGGACTTTGAAGTTGTGTTGACACAGGTATCTCGCAAAAGGAGGACTGCCTACTTAGTTAGTCAATCGTCGGTTAATTAACCAAATGTGGCGTACGTTTCCTTGGCTAAGGCAGAAGTAGGGAATGGGCCGGACCGGAATCCCTACCAAAACGACGCAGGTCGGTTTGTAGGTCAGTGATCGTTAACTCCTGATACTATCTACTTTACTAGAATATTGATCATAGTGCCGACTCTAAAGTAGGTAGGATAGCACGGTGAGTTCATACATAGAGGAAAGCGCGCGCTCCGCAAATCTAGCGATTATGACCTCAGCTCACCACCAAATTTCGAAACTACATTTCCTCTATGAAGCTCCCTCTTCTGCCCCGGATTCTTCAGCCAAACAAACATATACCACGGCTGAGATGAACGTGACAGACAGTGGCAGTCTCCAAACCCTGAGTCTGGCTCTCATATTTCTAGGTGCTCCATCCATACAGTCCCACGATCAGATAGACGAGAGAGCCAACTGACTCACGCATCCACAGAATCAGAAAAACATCTGTTTCTGCTCCACGGCCAAATCGGCCGTAGGATCCGTTGCCCGATATGCGCGAAGACTTTTCGCCGATCCTTTCACCTGGGCGAGAGTGTGGTGGTCGCAGCCTTTCACCAACGGGAGAGGACTCGTCATCGGTAGACTCCTCGTATTTTCTCTCCTCGATTTGAGCTATCACTTGAGAAGCTTTCGGCGATTTTTAGTCGCCTATGAGAAGAATGTGGAGATATTGGTGTATCTCAGCAATCGTTCGATTTGGAGGGTGTTTAAAGATGTGGTTGTCGGGAGACGAATCTGGAAGGGGGGTCTAGATGATTCGTGTTCTGAGGAGGAGGAGGAGGAGGCTTTCTTTTTGTGTGGTATTATGGTATTATGGTGTTATGGTTGTTGTGATATCATTGTGCGGTCTATATGTTTGATCTGACACTGTGTAAACATTGTGCAAGACTGTAAATCTTTGGAGGGGGTCTAAGGCAGCCTTTTGGTCACGGATGTTTGGAAAGGCAATGGATAACTTGAGATCGATAAACTTTTTCGCCGTCTTATACCAAGTGCTTTTGGTGTTCCCACGATGAAATAATAGAAATGAGGCCTAACTCGATCATCATCCGAGGGCAAGCCAGCTCGAGTTTGATTGTCTCGAATTCAAATCTGTTTACAATCAGAAAAGAAAAGAGAGTTTTCAATAAAGATCGATTGGCCAGCGCCATTTCTTCGAGTGAGTTTTCTTTTCAGCGGCGTTTGCCGAACCTTTTTCTTTTACTTTGGTCATGTTCACGCCGATTACGCTTCACTTAGCGGTTATATCGATTGAAGATATTGAAGAGGTTTGCGAGAAACAGATAAGAAATGTTTACTCTTAGCCGAAGAGATTTTATTCTTGACTCGGATTAAGGAGGCTATGATTGCTGGAATAAAGAGGCCAGCATACCATTACGATCTATCGTCTGCTTTCAACGGTACAGCATCGAGTCCGGTGATGGCAAACGGTACTATGACTAGTACGTTAAAGAGGCGTTTGGCTACCTCCCCAGCAACGTTGACGGGGCCATACATAAAGATCAAACAATTTCAAATCGAAATAACGCAGCGAGTTGTCTCTCGATACTGGTCTGTGTACGCGTAGCTGTACGGCTGGCTTCGGTCCGTATTAGTACAAACGACCTCTTTATTGTCGTAGAGCTGTAAAGGCTCGCCTTCGTAGCTCTTGTATCGAGTCAATGTGTCTGCAAAGCAAAGCACTCCTTGAAAGCGCAGTGCCGTGAGTCGACGGGTACTACGGGGTTTCAACTCTTCAGTCCCATGTTTTCAAGGGTCTGCAACTCTTCGATCTCTTCGATCCCATGGGAACAGATGACAGTATCGTAGGGGTCAACCCCTAATTAAGATACGGAGGGTACACAATAATCACGGAGCGTCATAGTAAGATTTCTCAAGAATAGAAAATGAAGCTATTTGTAGGTTCTTAGAAGAAAAAGTCATGATTATCAACGACGGCTTAAAGATCTTCGTTCGTACCGCTTTGCTAAGAGCTTCGTTATAAACTCGTGCCCTTACAAGCACCGGTAATTCCAATCAAAGGTATAGCGGCGATGACAAATAATAGCGTTGATGTAGGCGTTAATATTGGCGTTGGCGTTAAAAAGTCTCTGGATGCTCTCTGAGGGGGAAAAAAAAGTAGAGAAGTAGAGAATCGGCCGTGCTCTGAAGCGCAATTGACAATGTGGCGCTTTCGGATGTACCGTAGGTACCGTAAAGACTCTAGTGACCATTTCTTGCCAATCGGCCACTTTTCACCGTTATGCGCCCTGACCGCGCACGCAATATAATAAAATTTACGCGAGTCTCGCTTCAAAGTACGCGATATAGTAAATGTGGGCTACACAGGTGGGTTGATGGTCTAGACTACCTACCTAATCAGGTGGTTTGTTGTGTTGGTAATGTCTGGTACTGTACCGGTATTGCTATGAGTAATCCTCAGTCTGTAAGGAGGCCCACCTAAGCGAGCCGACGATTGATTGTGTCATTGTGACGCTTCCTTATGGGAACCATGGGTGCACGGTGCACGGGCTACCATCACGTGCTACTGCCATGCTACTGCCATTCGCGCTCCTTCCATTCCTGACTGCCACATTGGTCTCTGTAATCCGACAGTAAACATTCCAGGCCAAACCACCGCACTACTATCGAGGTCCACAGGGGGAATCACGGGACTGAAGAGTGTAGCCCCTATGTCTACATGGGACTGAAGAGTTAAGATTACGGAGTAGGAGCTTAGATGGATTAAAACATAAAAATTATACATAATATAAATTAAAGTCGATCTAATTGAGTTTTGATACATTGAGGTCTACTCCGACTAAGTCGAGTTCGCTAAGGCCGGCACATGATGTGAAAGATGGGGTGGGGCTGTGCCGGCGACTGAGCCACTTTAGTGAAATGTCAGCTATCGTGAACATTGCCGCCGCTTAATCTCATCGTCGCTTAATTTAGAGCTATTTTTGTCTTGATTAATATACGAGGAGTAATTGAGACCTGCATGCGCATTAATTTTTTTTTATTAGATTGTGATTAACATTTATAAAGTCGCCAAGGGAAAGACTTCTAAGATCGAGTGTTTTTTCGGGAAAATCAGATGTCATTTGCACTACTTTTAAATTACTCAAAATGAACATAACACTATAAAAATTGATCCCCGTTGCAAAGATATGATACGAAGTAAGATATATGCGTAGATTTTTTATATATGAGGTTGGGATTAGTAGCTGCGATTCATATAAGTATAAGACTTTCAGATCCAATGTCGGAGTTGGTGGCCAGGTCGGGTTTTTTTCAAAAAAAAAAACTCGGGAAGCCGACGAGCAGAGATAAATAAGACACGAAGAAACGCAAGGAGCATAAAAGCGAGAAGGCGTGATTTAGCTTGATATAATGGAAGTGGCCCTGGCTCTATCACGTAGTAAGATGGGAATTACTTGGTCGACCAAGATAAGAAACATATATATAAATCAACATGTGATCAATATATCCTTTCTTTCCCTAGCATAAATAGATTAATCGTCGGTCACCTTGAATAATTCTTGTAAAATTGATCCGACTTGCTATAGTATAGCAAGTCCCAAGTCCCAAGTCGGTGGGTTTTTTTTTTCCAAATTTAACTCAAGGTAATCGAAGATAAGCATCATGACTTAAATGAAATTTTGCTACTTCAAATAGCTAAGTCACATAAATAGTACCGGTCGATAACCATATTTAACCCCGCGAAAGCCTCTGCTTTTTCCTATCCATACGGTTATGCGGGCCTTGGCGACCTCGACTTGGTCGGATTAGACTTCGATATATCAAAACTGATCTGATTTTGTTTTTCTAATAATGTTAAGAGAAATTCTTAGCTGAGGGCGTTTCTGGGTCGAATTGAAGATAAGTAGTCTCGTTGAACATTCAAGGTTGCGTCAAAGGCTCTTTTGGTTATCGTGAAAGGCATTACTATATATAGTTGTTTAAAATCTGTTATTATAAAACTCAGTTATGGTTTTGAAGTCCTTCCTATTGTCTTGTACAAAAAGGTCGAAATTTACATCGGATAAAGAATATTAAATGAAAATGTATCATCTCAGACTAGACAGATCAGTAATCATTCATGATAGTCATTGATAAAGTCATTCATAAAAGTCATATATAAAAGTCATATATAAAAGTCATCTATAAAAGTCATCTATAAAAGTCATCCATAAAAATCAATAATTTACGATCTCATATATATAGCTATAGGAACACATTCATCTACTGAATCCTTATCGACAAGTAGATATAAAATGCTATATCTCTGAATTTTTCTCGAAGATAAACATCTGGTGTCCGAGGTATTGCGGATTTGATTAAGGTAGTGCTTCTGTTCAACGAGCCGCACGTACGAGACGATTCCTGTCAAAGTGATCCAGGACCGTTTGAAAACCATTACCAGGCGGGTGCGCGATTCTACCTCAGAAAGTCATAGAGCGGCGCTAGAAGTTGAAGGCTCTGCTGCTCTTGCCGATGCGAGAGAGCTGCTGTCACTTACACTATGTCGTCAGATCCCCAGCTGGAAATAACTTGGCTAGAGGTATCTACTCCTCGCGATCGGCACGCAGGATCTTGGCTCTTTGGAGGACGTAACATTCTCTGAGATAAGAAGCTCTTAGGACATGGCTATCGGAAGGCCGCAGTCGAACAGGAATCATTTCCAAGACTAGGATGGAACTGGAGCTACTTATTCGGTTGCTGATTTTTTTTTTAACAAAAGGGAATAGTGAAAACAAGAAGGATTCCTCCGATAAAAAGAGATTGCTGTGATGACCGGCCTAGGTTTATAGTATAAAAGGACACCTCTGTTCCATCATTTGTCGATGCAGCAGGTTCTCGTCTTCCAAGTCTAGAACTTAGGTGCCCATCTTTAGATCGTATAATCGTCGGCTATCTTGAATCTAATCTGAAAGAAAAAAGAAAAAGATCCGGCCTGGCTGCGCCCGCCAGGTCGGCACCGGGGACCAGGGACACCTCAAGACTCGGGACACCTATTTTTGCCCTGATCAAATCGATAGAAAATCAACTACTGATCACGTCGATGTTATTTCTATATAAAAATATGCACCGTATTTAGTCCAATATTAAGCAATCAATACAATTTTAATTATGTGTGATTATTTTCCATTACTATGCTGGTGTAAAGTAACAAAAATAGAACTTTTGGTGAAGTAATATTACAGATCCGTGCATTGACCTTGCGAACATGCTAAAATAGCTGTTCAAATACAAAAATAATCGGGGATTACAAAAATCGGACTTCCATCAAAAATACATTCAATATTCTATCAACTTTTAATTAGTAGATAATTTCTTTCTAATCTTGTAGATTCGATGATTTCCTATCGATTTATAGATCGTATTCTTTAAATTGAACTTGGGATTGTCAAGATGATCGAGACGAACGAATAGGTTTTTATTATCGCAGACAGTTTATAGCTACATCCTCAAAGCTTTGACTTGTAATATAGATGCATCTTTATATTTATCATACGCATCTATAAAGAAATGTTTTTTAAGCATCTAGATATTTTTTTTTTATATGTTTTTCTCAATAATGGTGGTTTGATAAGTGTTTGCATGAAGGCGTCCCGCCCTAGTGGCGCCGACTAGCGATCGCAAGTCGGCCCATTCTTTTCGAATTGAACCGCAGGTAACCGACACTGAACGAGCAGTATTATTGCAAGGATTGCCGCGGTCAATCATACCAAGAGCCAGACAGGGGACAAGAGATCTGCCGGAATAAGACATGGAAAAGTCTTCTAAGATGGGGATTAGAAAAATCGACCCAGTCCTCACGTTTCATAAATAGTGCATTCTTGGACAAGATCTTGGACAAGATGCGAAATTTAAACTCTGTCGCACGGATTTGCAACGGCTTGTTCTCACTATAATACAGTCTTCCCGGACTCTTCTATAGGAGTTTAAATAAGTGGATGGCAGGTCGTGCGCGGGAGGGCTAGCGAAGTACGGAAAGAAGCGAAAAAGAAAAAAAAGAAAAAAAAAAGAGAAAAAAAAAGATAGCTCAGCTCGCTCGAATCCAAGGTCGTGAGACGGAAGCGGGAGCATTTGAACGGCTCGAGACTGAAGATTCTGATACTTGAATCTCCTTTCCTCGTAATCGGCTACTTCTTGTCCTTGTCGGTCTCCCCCCGCGCATGGCTCGCCAAAGAAAGCTTCCATGCACTCAATTAAACCGCCACTACGGTACTTATCCGTGCCACCCTTACCTTAGGACCCGCCCCTTATTCTAAGGGGCTAGGACTAACTAAGTAGTAATACCTAGTCGTAGTGGTAATTAGCGCCTGAGAGAGGCTCAAAAAGTTCGTCTCTACTTTAACCCCCTGGCTTCCCGAGCCTCAGGTGGTCATTACAGTCCGGTTACTATCACGCGTGGGAGATCGGTAGTACTACGTATTTTTCTTGGATTTCTTGGATGGCGGCAGTGCTCGGTACGAGTCATCAATACTGCTCTGTATCTGTATATACAGTAAGTATAGTAGTTATACGGAGATTAAAGACCTCGCTCCGGAAAATGCTAGTCAAAGGCTGCATGAGGTTTCCAGTCCCGTGCTTGGAGTTCTATCTAGGGTACCCCATACGTGCGGTAAACGGGAAGAGTGGTTGGAGCTTCTCGTTCCACGTGTCTTGCCCGATAGTTAAGAGTCCGGGAAGAGATGACATGAGGTGACATGAGGTGACATGAGTCTAAGCAAAGGTTGAGTATTCTGGAACATCGAAGACGATTTGAGATATACCGAGGACCGGAAAATAGGCACAACCTTGTATGCTCAAATAAATTCCGGAAATACTACGTACAGAATGAAGTTGTAGTAGTATATATCTCCGATGTTCATTTACCAAGTACCTACCTCCTATCCATACTACGTCATAGCGCTATTGTAGTCCTATTAGGCAAAATTCCGATTGGCGTTTCCTTTTCGCACTGTATGATCAAGAAGCATCTCTGACGCCTCTTCGAAACAGGTACCGGTATCAGACAGCAGAGGAAGCTCGGACTGTTGTTTGCGAGAGGCGTCACGGCAAACCTTGAGAGCGCTCAGCTGAGAAGGTGGCTTTCGCTTGAATAGCAGACAAAGTGAAAAAGAAACTTATTTTAAGCGCATTAGAACAGAGGTGGGGATAGCTTCACAGCTGGCGCGGATAGTGAGGCTGGGGCGACGACGATGTTCACGGTGTAATACGGTATGAGGCTGCAAGTAAGATACGGATTGCTAATCTGGTAGTGAGTAGGGCGCTCGTAGGTCGTATCAATCAATACTCGTATAGTTCAATAGTGCAATGATTGAAGATCAATTAAAAGAAGCATACATCACCGGGACTCTATGCTATTCATATTCCGTCGTCGAAGCTTGGGTTGTCCAATACGGTAATGGCTGCCTGTTGCTACCAGGTACTACGTACTTAAACTTGGCCTTAGAGTTTGCCGAGTGACTAGATCAATTAATTAATCAAGCCTCAGCGCTATTTAATTTGATTACCTTTTACGTTTAGATTCAAGATTTTCCGTACGAACATACTACGTAGTACGTACTTGGGCCAAGTCCCGGCTCGTGCTGGGCGCTCCGAAATCTCCTTTCCCCAACCCTATACTTGAGACGTCAAGCCCCACTATTAAAGGCCTAAAGTCGAGACTACAAGGGCCATTCTCTAAAATTGAGACGTCAAGTCCCACTCTTAATCAAAGTAGCTATTCCAAGAGTTCCAAGCGCTTGCAGGACCCAGCTTTTACAGCTTTTACAGCTTTTACGGCTTTTACAGCTTTTACAGCTTTTACAGTACAGCTTTTACTGCTTTTACAGCTTTGTCAGCCTATAGCCTACAGCCCACAGCCCACAGCCCAGCCTACCCACACCCTTGCACACCAAAATATCGCTATGCTGGGCTCGCTACAGCAATAGCAATAGCCACAGCCATCGCCATAGACCAACTCATTTCCTGCCGATAATTTTAGCGAAAGCCGTTCTCGTGCGGCCAGCATACCGACAACCACTCACCGAGCCCTCCCTGTACGTCGATCTTCTGGACCGGGTGAGATAGGTAGATTGGAATTTTAATTCAGTTGTGGCTTTTGATGTGAGACAGGGAGCACCGAGTAATTAGATTTGCCAGCTGTAATTTGAACGTCGATAAACTAACTGCACGCTTATACGGAGTACGATTACCAAGAGTGTTACAAGCAAAACTCACTGGGCATATAAAGTGATTTGCATTTCCCCGTTCCTGCATCCGCGTATCATCTTTCTCTTCACCTATCAACTTCTGCATTTCTCGCTTCATCTCTCTCTTTAACCAACTCTTCCTTTACTATCACTGTCTTTATTATTCTTCCACCTCGGCATTTACCCATTGCTACATAACCATCCTGCCAAGATGCAATTGTCCTTCATCGCCGCTATCCTGGCCGCCACAGCGGGCACCAGCGCCTCGCCGACACGTGATCTATCCGCAAGGACGAACATCAAATATGTCAAACATGACTCCCTGATTCCCTTCCTAAACACACTTCCGGCCGATAAGGAGCAGGCAGACATTATCCGCAAGTTCAACGTGAGTAGTCTTTTCGCCTTGTAGCGATTCGCTCCTTATTGCCATCCCCCTTTTCTTCTTTTTCAATCAAGTATCTCGCGTGGCCCTCGTAATGTACTGACAAAGGTATTCTTTAGCCCACCTTGCATGTCACGCATGGATGCCAGGTCATGACAGCAGTGAACGACAAGGGCGAAATCAGGTTCGTTCAAGTCCCAATCTCATCTCCTTAACACGCCCGTCTGACTCTTCTATAGCTCAGGTCTTCAAGACTCGGGGAGTCCCAATGGAGGTTGCCGCTGGACGGATCGTGGTCAGACTTACGGTACGTAGCTGAGGAGGAGGAGGAGGAGCACCCTTCCATTCTCATTCCCACCCCCATCCGACTTCACATTCCGAAAACATCTTGATTCTCAAATCGGCTATATCTGACTCCCTGGCCGTGTATAGTCCGAACCGCAAACTACAAAGAGATCTTCGCCATCATGTATGCCTGGTACTGGCCCAAGGACCACCCGAATGCTGGCAACGTAGCCGGAGGGCATCGTCACGACTGGGAAAGTGTGGTCGTCTGGCTCAGCACCAACTGCACCGACGATGCGAAATTACTCGGCGCATCAGCCTCCGGCCACGGCCAGTACAAGAAGAACACAGACCCGCCCAAAGTGGGCGACAGCGTCGAGATCGAGTACTTTACCAATTTCCCTATGAACCACGAGCTGCGGTTCACCACGACCGCCGGGTGGTACTTCAACCTGCTCGAGTGGCACACCATGCCAGCGGTAACCCGTGAGGCCCTCCAGAACGCTGACTTTGGCGCTGCCAACGTCCCGTTCAAAGACGGCAACTTTGAGAGCAACCTCGACAAGGCCGTCCTTGACGGTTATTAAACACAGAATCGAAATTCAGACTTGGAGATAGTGTGATGGCCTGAGGCCAGGGGAGACTAAGGTGCACACGTCCCACCTTTTATGGGCTCCTACATACGGAGGTACAGCAGTTCAGGATCGTAACCCTCGTCGACCCACTGCTGTTCTGGCTGTACCTCCGTAGACTTCTCTCAAAGAGAGTAGCTTAAACAATACAACCAGCTTATACACTTCCTCTCCCCCGAAGTGATAGGGCCTGTTTGTCTAATGTATATATTTGGTGTTGGTGGTGTTGTGGTTGTGGTTGTTGTTGTTGTTGTGGTTGTTGTTGTTGTATTTATCAACGTCGGAAATGTCTAATGTATATAGTGTGCGCGAACGGCCCCTTTTCCTTATTCTTGTATATATAACGACCGGCTCTCCTAGCCTTCAGTTAGCAACTTTCCTTTGTACTGGCGAATGTGGTCAGCAGATTAATGTCGACAGCTGGTTTTACCAGTTGATGAATAAATATCAAAACAGAGATTCCTTTACACAGCGCGCGTCCCCGGGTGAGATTTGCTTCTCGCTCCTCTGCGATAGATAGATGTTGTCCCGTGGATCTCGACCTCGACCTCGACCTCGACCTCGACCTCGCACTCGACCGATGGCATGGTCGACCGAGGGCAGCCATTCAAACGCCTCGTTTCAACCCAAGTATGTTCGATGACGACGGAGACCTAAGGAAGAGAGAAAGAAA